ATCCATAGGTGGTGATACCTTTCCTCTCCCCTATCTACTCTTACCCTTTCTTTCTCTTTCTTTTTTCTTCTTATATGTTTTCTTAAGTGATACCTTTATATTTCTGTACTGTTTTATTTTTACAGATAATCAAAACAGCTACATACCTCCTTTCCATTACAACCAAACTGCTCTAAAATAAACCTGCCATACAGTATATATATGAACACTGATCATTCAGTACAGTGTTGCTTCACTTTAATCCATCCCAAGGGCTCTATTAACAAGAACTTGTAACCTGGCCTTTAGGGACATGTCATGACACTTGCATCTCCAACCCTTTCCAACTTCACTCCAAGTCACAATCCTACATACAAAAAAAGCACAATCACATTCATATGCTCAAGTGTGTCTTCCATGAACCACAGAGTTGGCTTCTTTTTATTTACCTACTGATTTCAGGCAACTACCAAAGAAACTTGCAAACATGCGGCTGACAGGCTGTCAGAGAAGAACACTGAACCTCATAACACTTGCAAGATACTCACATATGATCCCAGTGATACACACTGCATAAATTCTGGAAATTTTTGCCAGTCTACAGATACAAACTGAAGAGTCTGACTTGTTACCTGAAGGCAGTTATACCAGAAATCAGGCCATACTCTATTCTCAAATACTAAGAATAAGAGTGAAGTCTCTTTCATTAGTTTTTTGCAGTTCTACTTCACCTGATGGCAAAAATTTAATCAGATTTTTGTGTGACTGATTTCTAAACAACATCATAGAAAGGGGACAGAAAATAAAAATTTTAAGAAAAAAGTGCATCTTAAAGTCAATGATTTGAAATGGCAAATATGAAAAAAATTTCATAAGCAACATTTAAAACTACTTCCTTTAACTTCTATCAGTTTTGTGGCAAAATTCACAGAGTGAGATTATTTCTAGTGTGTTATGGAGCAATACAGAGAATGTGAGATATACTGGTATGCAAAGGGAAATGAAATGGCTGTATTTCTATTTTAATAGATTCAGCTGCTGGGGATTTATTTTCAGATAGCTTAATATAAGCAGTGACTGGTGCCTGCATATTTACAAAAATATTCCTACTCTTCAATCTCATTCATAGCAACTTAATGATTCCCCTCTGCTACTTCTACTCACACTACAAAACCTAATTCCCAGGGATCATGAGCTAGTCCTGAAATGTTTTTTGGAAGACACTGATGACTTGCTTATAATGACGTTTTCTCTTACCATAAGGGTTTCTGTTTCCCATGGTACAAGCAATTCAAGGAGCTCACTCATAGAAAGCCCAAAGTTAATGGAGAACAAAAGTATGCATATGGCAAAAGGAATATTCTGGAAGTCTTTTAATGGAACCAACACTCATTTGTACATCACTGAAACTGTCAACATAAGAAAACTAACCAAACAAACTTACCATTAAGCTGCATATTTGTCATGAGTGTTAGGCTGTGAAGCACAAGGCACCACGTCCGGAGTAAGGTATTAGGATACCATGCCAGAACTGACAGGAAGCTAGTTACTGAAGCTGTCAAGAAAAACAGATTTTTCCAAGTTTTAATCTTCAAGGTATTACTATAAATTTCTAATTTTTACCGTAAGGTGATATGCTGATTGTTATTAATATTATTGTTCCTTGCATTCATTTTGTTTTGACAACCACTGTTGCAGGAAATTAGGAAAAGAAACCTCACCAACACTTCACAGGAACTGGCCCACAGAACTTTCTACAGCGTGCAGACCCTGACATCTCAGAGAAAACAATGCAAGAAACCGGTTTCAAATGTTCTCATGAAGTCAGTGGAACAGGTTCATTATATCATGCATTAACATTTTGGATTATCACCACAAGGTATCACAGACTTTCTTAATTATATAGTATAATGTATTGCAAGAAAAAAAATTCAGCATGCCTTCATACTAGATCAGCAGTCTGAAGCTCAGCAGTAATGGGTGCTTTCCTACTCTGCTGACCCCTTTCTTAAGGGAGGGATCATAGGACGGTATAAAGGAGATGAAATTCGTCAGAAAAGTGCATACACTTGCACAGTTCATCTCAGACTAAGAAGTGTATTTTAATGAGTCCTCCTGGGAATAATTATGAGTTAGGAACCACAGATTTTACCATTTCATTTCTAATATCTTTATTAAAATTGAACAAATCAACTCTCAGTTACACACTAGCAATATATTTTCCACTTTAAGAAGAAAATGATACCAAGAGTTCTTTATAAGATCACAGCAATTATCTCAACACTGATCTTATAAAAAAATACTTACTGCAATACTTTTTGATTATTAGGAAAAATTGAGCATTAAAAAAAACCCAAAGAATCCAAACTTATTTCTCATATTTGATATATTTTACCTTGGTTCAGGGAAACAACAGGTATTCGGTTAGCATTGTAAAGGAAAATATCAGCACCACTATCTTTACTTCCAGAGGAGCTAGAATTCAGGCTTAATGTGAGCCATAGCTGCAATAGGGATTCAAGCTGAAAGAAAGGGGAAAAAAACCACTATGAAACCAAACTCAGAACCCCAGAGCATCCAAGTTTTAATTTTAAAAGCTTGGTCTACATTCTCAGCTGCTACTGTTTCACTGCATACACACACTCTCTCCTTTACTGAATTTGAAAATTCTGCTAAACATAATATTCAAGGCAAATTCAGTCTAAACTAGCAAATGCTTCTGCTATTGTTTTTGTAATTCATTTCTTCCAAATCGATTCTCTGAAGAAGTCTCTGCAAATTTGTGTTATGAAAATGCAGCTTTACACACTGTTCAGAAATACCTTTATGAAGTAAAGGTATACCTTATACCTGTAACATGTACAGGTAGGCTTACAGATTTGCATGGAAGCTTTTGTAATGTTATTAAAATGATGTTTCCCAGTCAAGTAAAATTATTCAAAAGAGCCCATTTATCTAATGAGAAACCTCAGAGACACTGATGCCTACTCTGAATAATTCCACTGAGGAAAATAAGTCTTTAGATATTCTGGGGAAGCATCAAGGACGTTTACACAAGAAACTGTATTTTGGATGAGATATTTAAAAAACAACTGAGGGATGGAGTCAGCCACTCTATCAAAATATCAAGAGGGAGGCAGGCAGGCAGGCATCTAATCATTATATATATAGCATACATGGCATTCCTTTGTATGAATCAAGAAAAGCATTGCTAAACCAATGACTTTTCAAAAAGCAAAGTTTTAAATTTGCTATTAACATACAGGATCATTGGATAATTCAGATTGGAAGGGACCTTTGCATGTTATCCAATGCAATCTGCTTAAAGAAATGCCACAGAAGATATCAGACTTGGTCGCTTGGGGGTTTATTCAACTGTGTTTTGAAAAGCTCCACAAATCTCCATTTGTAATTAAGTGCCATTTAGCGACATTTTTCATTAATAAGCAAACAATTATCATTCAGTGGACATATAAACTTGGTTTTAAAGATGAAAATATATACCAGTTTTCCACTGTAACAAGCAATGTCTGCTTTGACAAAAGCTTTCAGCACTTTATTACATTATCGGTACTGTTGTCCATGACATACTCATAAGCAATACAGCACATAACAGATTACTTGAATCCTGTGTAGGAAGAAGTAGAGGAAAACAACTCTCAAATTTAGAGATAAATACTATCAGAACATTTAAAGTTCAAAATTCTCTACCTGAACATGGTGGACTTGTAGCATGGAAAAGAGTTTGTTGAAGCATGCGCTCAGCATAGGTATAGATGACAACTGCACAATCAGCTGGGCATTTTGGTTAGCAGCATGTAATCCCCTCAGCAGTGAATCATCTGTGCCACTGGGAGACTGTGTCACTAGAAAACAAAACAGGGTAGCATCCCCCCATGAATTACTTTGAAAAGTTGCCAGAAGTAATTGCATAATTATTTTCTTGCATTTTATACTTAAGTGAAAGATACTTTTTTGTAATTTAGAAGAACATCTTCAACGTAGTGTTCAGTAGAAATGGACTACTGACTACCATAGTAGTGGCACACTTAAATATCAGACATTTCTATCTTCACAAAAACTGTTTCGAACTGAGTCCACACAGATACATTTTCACAGCTGTTACAGCAGTGTCCTGGTAACACAACGATCAGACAAACAACTGGAACATTTCTTTCACGCATTTTGTCTGTTGCCGACAATAATGAACTTCCAGAGAATAGTCTGAAGATGTCACTAAACCTACTCCATCACTACATACTCAACCAATGACTGCATGCACATTAAGGTACCTAGAGGGCTACAAAGAAATACGATTTAACAAGATGGGCAGCACAACTCACTGAAAAAGGTTCAAAAGTAAAACGCCCTAGGAGTGTTTTTGTAACATAAAGCTCACTGAACAGCTGAGTTCAAAACTGTATTCAAGTATTTTCACTTTCATCACCTAGTAGGTTGTAACTGCCAAATACAAAGAGCTTTCAAACACCACGATGAAGCTTCACACAAGAAGCTTAATGCTCACTTGCACCTAGACCTAAAAATGAAAACTTTCCCTCCTTTGTAGCATAGTTGATTGTTTCACAAAATGTCTTATATACAGGCATGTAAATTACTTAAAAATCTGAATAAAGAACTATCTCTAAAGTTCAGCCTAAAAAGAAAATTCAAGCAAAATATAACTTCTTCTAAGCTACAAAGTGACTGCAGAAAACATTACTACAAATTTCAAAACATCATGATCATTATGTGAAGAGAATGATTTGACAATATGTAGTTACATGTAGGAGATGTGTTTGTTAATGCTTGTAGAATGGAATCAGCCTCCAATGTGGACATCATTTTCAGCATCAGCTCAGCTTGCTGCTCAAGTCCAACTTCGAGACGTGCATCTAAAGCTACAGAAGGCAACAAAAAAGGTAAAACTGAGTTATATCAAGGACATACATAATTACAGAATCACAGACTATTCAGAGATGGAGGAGACTCACAAGGATCACCAAATCCAACACCTAAGAGAATAGCTCATAGGGGGATTGGACCCATAACCTTGGTGTTATCAGCACCATGCTCTGAACAACTGAGCTAATCTCATCTTTAATTTGTTCCTCTTTTTATAACATTCTTACAGACTTGAAATATATAATTATTAAAATACTGTACTTCTGTGAAACACACCCATATTTCTTTCCACACTCACTTTACTATCACACATGACAATCTGCATATGTTCAAGTCATTTCTTCCTAAGGCAACAGCTCTCAAATGAGAACCAAAAAGTTGTTTTTCACAGTGTGGCAGAAGAAAAATCTATCACACAGTTCAGTAGTACTCCTACAAACGAAACAACTGTGCCACTTCACTCCTCTGGGGTACAGCCAACTAGAAAAGAGCTTCCAAAATTTCCTGAGAAAACAGGAAAGATTTAAAACTGCCTAGAAGTGCATTCCAAAATGTTAGAAAATAAGATTTTCTGCTATGCTGGGCTTTTTAAAATGTAAGTTTCACACTATATTCTCTCGGTTACTACAGGAAAAAATATGTGGCATATATAAAACGTAATTCTTTCCCCTTAAAATACATAGATATTGCTAAAATAATTTCTTGTCCTAAGGCGTCAAATACAATATTACAGAAAAGAAACCTCAAACAGAATTTGAATTCATTGCTTACCTTGAGAGACTGATATGCTGACAGTTTGTGATCCATTTTTCTCTGTAGTTACAGGTGGTTTTGCAACTGGAATTCCAACACCACCAATGTAAGGATTGTAATTGTAGGTGCCATATTCAGCACCCCAGTAATCGTACCAGGTGCTGCTTATAGGCTTAAAAAACAAACAAAAAAAGCAAGGAAAAACAATAAATAGCAAGTCTTTAGATAGCCGAAAGTTTTCAATGACTAACAACAAACTCTGAAGTTAAAAAAAATTAAAACCAGAAGATTGGTTCCAACAGCTTTAGAAAATTGTTTCAATTCTTATTGTAGTATAAGCTACTGAAGCCTTAGTGATCGTCAAAATCCAGCAGTGTGGTTAGCTGCCTCAAAGATTCAAGAAGCCAATTTGAAAATGCTATCATCAGTTTTTCTTCACATATTTGTACCATATTGTAAATCTGGAAGTAGAGTATTACTCAGATATTTATCAAGACAGAATACTATACTATTAACTGTACTAATTAAGTACCATGAAGCCTCAGTGAGGCTCAGGGACTATTTGTACTGGGTTCTGAAAAATTAGCAGTTGAGTAATCTCTACTTGTGTCATAATTTAAGACACTAAGAAAGCATATGGATCACAAGGAAAAAAAGTAATGTAACACTGTATAAAGGAAATTTGCATATGCTGGTCTTTTTAATGGTGAGATCCAATACCAACTGTCATTTTGCAGATATGGAAGCAAACAGTAAGAAGGATTAAGAATGAAAAAGTGGTTTTATGGCTGTTTTTGGGTAGACATCAAAGCAGGTAATAAGACGATAAAGGTACCTTGGATGAAGCTGATTAAAGAGTACTGCCACATGACATGATAGGAGAATAAAGGCAGGAAACATCAGTAACACAGAAATTCAGCAGAAAGTGTAATTTTTGGTGGCAGACTGAGATTTAAATAAAAAAATCTTTACATGATAGGTAATTGGTGGAAGGACATATGAGGAAATGCAGAAAAAAATTCAGTGTTTTCTGAGCAAGTGGTGAGACAGATTATTTAAGTTCATTCAAACGAGAGGTTTAAGTCAATAGTAAGGGGCATGGAAAAACTCCAAATATCATCCTTCTAAACAGAGAAAAGACTCAATGTTTCATTATGAACAGTGTGTTTCTTTAAAGTCTAAATATTTTTGGTTTTTATCTACATTGGCAATGTTGTAATTGTACAACACATGTATGTTTAGCCTTCGTTTTAAGTATTAAAGTACTTAGTAATTTTCTTGTTCCCCAGTAAAATAAATTTTGAAGTGCCTTGCTTCTCTTCATAGTCTGAAGCCAAGCTGAGCACAAGCTACTGCTAGCTTCCTTTTTTAAATACAATACTAACAGTATAAATTCATCTTAAGATCAGTCACAGAAACAGTGCTCTACTCTTAATAAAAAGGACTAGACTGATCTTATTTTTCTATTATGCTTTCATTGTCTTTAAGACGTGCTGAAGTGTGAGTAAACTCATAACCTCTTGTTTACACAAGTATCTTCATGCAAAAACAAAATATTTTGTGGCCCATTGAGATGTGAATATTTACATTCTTTCCTGTCATTACACATAAAATGTCATAAAAAACTAGCAGCAGGTCTAAGACATCAAATACCACTACTGAAGAAGTGTAAGAGAATAAGGGTTTTTCTATCTCACATGAAAAGGTTATCCTAAAAATTTAGGTGTGACATACCTTGAAGACTTTGGCTGCAAGGGGATCTTTTTCCAAATCAATATCCAAAGGATCAATATCGACTTCCATCAGGTCTTGCAGTAATTCAAGATCAATGTCCTTATCTTTTTCCAATGATGACAAGGGTGGAGCACCTTGAGTCATTAAAGGAGTATTAACCAAACCAAAACCACTACACACTAGCAAGTAAAAATTATAAAACAAGGATGTATAATATACTTAACAGAATTTTAAGCTTTTTAATATTACAACTTTGTGGAAAAAGTTAAACCAAGTTGCCTTTTTAAAAATAATATGAAAAATAACCCTTCTTTACTTGTCAGATGTAAAACTAACTTGAAGAATTACTCCATCTGCCTATATTATCAGAAACTTTTCATGCTGTCACCAAAACGTTTTTTACTGATAACTTGATAGATGAGTAAAATTTTTTTTACTCCTTTCAATGAATATACATCTACAAAATTATGGAATAATCTACCTGTGATGTCATGTGTCAAAGGCTCATCGATGGTTTCCACTAACTGAACTGTGGACTGCTGGAGAGAGTCATCAGAATCTCCAGCCGAAGCTCCAGCATCTTCTCCCAAAGCACTTTCTTCCATAGCTTCAGCTGCTATAGGTGCCAACAACTCTCCTAGGTATTAAATTAAGCAGACAACTTCACTTCAAGCTTTATTCCCATTACAAATTAACATCCCAGTGTCTATGTCAACTATGTAATTTTTTCATCTAAGTTCTCTGGGGGCTATTTCTTCAAGGTGAAGTGTTTTGAATAATTTTCAAATAATCATGGTCATATAAAAATAAACTTTTCAACACACAAGTCACTCTAATTGCAATTTCCAATCACATTTTTATGCACTAACCGAAATGTTATATTTTGTTTGGAGTTTTTTATAATTTGGACTGTCAGCAGGTTCTAACAGTGATAAACGCCCCCCTCAAAACATTAAAGGAAGATTCAAGCGCAAGATACAAACCTGCTAGAATATCTTGTAGCATACAAGTCAGAGAATACTGAGCCCATGCTCCTCCCCAAGAGATGTCTCCTCTGTTGAAGTCAGTTCCAACAAGAAGCAGCAATAATCGTTCTAATTGAGTCTCATTTACAATCTCACATAAATGAATTGTTGGTCTTGTAGCATTTGCAATTCTAGCAAGAACCTATTAAAAAAAAAAGAAAGATAAATATATGCCTATTGATAGTTAGCCCTATGAAAGTATATAATAACTTGATTTTCTATGATCATTAGATTTTGCTTACAAATAAATCAGGTATTTTTACCAGCTCACACTTCAGAATTTTATGAGTGTAATTACATGAATATATTTTTTAAGTTAATTTTTCCACGCAATTTTGAAGCCACCTTATTGTAAGTCACACAAAAAGTGACAGATCAGAAAAACTACCTCACCAGAAATGATTAGAAATTTTAGTGCTGCAGCTAATTTTTACCATCAAACAAGCAAAAAAAGAGTAATAAAAAACTAATTTAATGTGGTTGCTACTGCAGTTGCTACATAGTAATGTTCCATATCCTGTTTACCTTACAAACAAAAAGAAGCAAATCTGCATGACAAGTAAAGTCCATGGACAAGAGAAAGAGTGCCAGCTTTTGCACTACAGAAATGCAACGTTCATGTGCCAGTGTAAAGGGAAGTGGTTCAATTTCTGGAGTTTCCTTTGCTGTTGATACTTCTGTATCTAAAGAAGAACGAGGCCATTCTGCAGTTCGACGCAAGCGTATTAAGTCCTTGAAGTGCTGCAGAAATTAAATTTGAAAAAATAGTTACAGTTTAAAACTGACCTCTAAATTTTTCCCAAGGAATTAGTGCGGCAACAATAACAAAGACTGTGGAACTTCTTAAAAAAACAAAAGGAAGTCTAAAAATATATGAGAATCTGGAATGGAATTAAGGCTTTATTGGCAGAATCTTGTTTTGGCAGTATGTTATCTCAGATGACAAATGCATAATCAAATTCAGTTCTGCAAAAGTGCCAATTAAGCCTTATGTATGTCATAACACACATTGAAAATACATATTTGCAAAGTTTCTTTCATATTTCCACACCTGTACATAAATCTACAGTTATCATAAAGCAAACTGCATATAAAAATAGCCAATATGGAAATTTACTCTTAAAAGAACACTGACTTTTCAGTTCTTCACATTTGATAAATCATCAGTAATTTCTAAATTTCTTAATACTGCCATGATACAAAGTTACATATTAGCTACACCATAAATTGAACTAGTTTGATTTTTGATCATGGTTCTGAACTATAACAATTGACAGAGGGCCTACAGGCGATGGAGAAAAGAAGGTGCTTTTATTAATCCTCTCATCTACCAAGGGCATTCATTTAGCAGCTCAGCTCATTGAATCAGCTGCACTAGCCATCATTAGATAATACAAAAGCCTCTTATAATCTCACTTAAGTAGTAGCTACTGAATTAGACCAAAAAAAGACTATTTACTGAGACAAAGGTTTCACTTTCTCCTAAATGCAGTACATGTTTTACATCACTCACAGCTTGTCATAACTAGAAGTGATTAGTAGGCGAAATAGCAAAACCAGCATAAAATGCAACGATCAAGGGTATAGTAACACCTTAACTACAAGTTAAGAAACTACAAGAGGAAAGATCTTTAGTTCAACACTTTTTTTTATGCAACATGGCTACTATAAAGTGAAACTT